AGAAAAAGAATGGGAGTTGGCTTATTGGTCTTATGCTTATTAGTTAGAATGTTTAGTAGACCATTCATAGTTTTTGCACGTGTGTGTAGAATAAGAGAGTTTGAATCGAGTAATCATGTGAAGAATGACTTCGGACGGGTTTTTATTTTGTATGGATTCATTATGTGGGGACTATGTTTTCGGATTGGATTTTGGTTTTATGGATATCCGGATGAAAATGAGAGTTTCATTTTGCATGCTCGTTGATTTTGGACTTTTCGATTTTTCTTGTCGAGCTACTTGTTGTATTGTTTGCTTGAGGACAAGCAAAGAGTTAAGTGTGAAGGAGTTGTTTGTTATGTTTTTGTGCCTATTTTTCTTGTTTTATGTGTTAGTCGAGTCATTTTTAGGTTCGGTTTTGTGTCATCCAGTCCATTTTATCGTGTTTTATGTGTTTTTGTTTGTGTTATGTGTTCTTGTATTTTTCTGTATTTTCGCGTATCTTTTGGTGTATTATATAGGTCCATTTTGCACGATCGGGAAGACAAGTATTTTCCGAGACATTTTTGTGCCATCCGAACCATTTGATCGAACATCCGTGTCAAAGGTAGCATAGCCACACTCGCAGCCAATCCACATTCGCAACGCGTGACTTGGTCCATGAGGCGCCCAGCTAGCCCGCACACTCGCTGCAGAACACTCTTCGCGAGCCGCCAAACATCACATCCCAAGAACTTCACACTCGCTGCGAATGGAACTTCGCGACCGGCGAAGCGGCAAGGCGCGCAACACCCACAAACTCTGGACTCGCTGCGAACCTGTCTTTGCGTGCTGCGAAACGCGCCCATGCACCATCAATAGCTAGCACTCGCTGCCAATCCTCATCCGCGACCGGCAAAGCCGCACATCTTGCGCCACGCAACAGCAGCAGTCGCTGCGAACCACTCTTCGCGCCCCGCGAACGCACACACCAAGCAACCTGCGCACTCGCAGCGAACTTCATTTGGCGAGCCGTGAAATGCACTTTTCAGTTCATTTTCACTCCAAAACTCATCGCGAACAAGATTTCGAGACATGCGAGCTGCTGAATCATTAAATGTGTGTGCACCTAGTGTGTGTTTTTGGGAGACCACTATATATATGTTTTTCCTTTGCATTTTAAGGATCCACCACTCGTTATTTAATTTTTCCTTTTTGGGAACTTAGCTTATGTTTTATGTTTTCTCTCTAGACTAAGAAATCATGTCATTTTCCGGGAGGTTTTCCGACAACTTTTGTTTTTTCAAGTTTCGAGCTTTTGACTCTGTTTTTCATCGTCTACGCAATAAAAGAATGGGTATTTAGTTTTAAAGCCCTTTTCTTCAATTTTTTCCCTGTTTTTACTTATAATGTTTATTAGGGTAAATTTGAGTATGATTGATGAAGGAGGAAAAATCGGGACTTGATTGCTTGGGATGCTTGCTTGAGTAGTTATAGGGATTAATTGCTTATCGATCTCGGTTAAGGGTTAAGACCCAATTAGGGCTTAATTACTTAGGGATAGAAAGCTAGGGTTAATGATCTAGTGCTCATAGCTCGTTTATTCCTCTCTGTCGTTGAAAATCATCTCGTTGTGTTGATTGCATGAGATTCCGATGGTCTAGCTTTGTTATTTGCTCGTGATTTGATATTGCTCTTAGTTAATTGCTCTCTCTTAGTGTTGCTCGTAATTGCTTGCTCGTTTACTGTAAATCAATCCCCAATCCAATTGTTTAGAATGTTTATGATTTATTTTCTCGTTTTTGTGTGTTTTGAGACAATCAACTAGTAGATAAAGCTCCAAACCGTCTTCCTTTTGAGAACGACCCGAGTCGGGTAACTCGGTTACCATTTTCCCACCAAATTCTTACTAAACAACAACAAGTGGTGCCGCGGCGCGGGAGCTGGAGGGTGTCACGACGTGTCACAACTCACAGTGCGGAAAGAGATATTGGGCTCTATGTACGCCCGTGACGTGTGTCACGGCGTGGGGAACCGGCACAGCGGTCTGGGGTTGGTTGGGAAGCAAGCTTGACTTTATGTGTCGGGCCCGTTTGAACTCGTCCGACTTCTGAATTCGGTTCCATTTTATCTTGTGTGACGACAACGCATCCTACTATGAAATTAAGCTCGTCAAATCAGTTTTCTTCTCCATATTAAGAACGATCAAGGAATTCAACCTGCACACCAAAGACGAAAGAAAACCGAAAAAATACACGAAAAACACAGAAAATACTAAAATGAAGAGAGACACGCAATAAACTACAAAACGAACTAAAAACCAACGAAAGAACTAAAACATGGGAAAAAGAAAGGAAAAATAATGACTAAAAACGGGCGAAAATAAAGAGGATTCCAGACTTTGTACTTTAATCTTTTCATCTAAAAGCTAGAAAGACTTGGGATATAGGGCCAATTAATGGGATGTAATTAACATAAATGACTGCTCCTTCAAGTCTTGGTGGTGCCAAGTATGTACCATGATCATCCCGAGGTTACTGAAGCCGGAATCCAATTGACAACATATATGCTTTGTTGGCTTTGGAATGCTAGAAACTTGTGTTTCTTTCAACAAGAGTGAATTCTAGAGAAGATTGTAGTTAAAGCTGCGGTGAAGATTTGGTTGGAGTTCTGTGGTGCTAGTTGTTAACATTTGTTGTGTTGTGTATTTGTTTTCTAGTTTGCTGTGTTAGTTTTTTATTCAGTGTGAGTCCTTGTCTCTGTGCTTTGCTGGTTTTTGGGACAAGGGATCTCTAATTAGGTCTTATGTCAGAGGCTAGTTAGTCCTCTGTTTTTTTAGTTTATTATTGTGGTTTTAGTGTTGACTACCTGATTGAGTTGTTATATAATATTCTTTGTTGTTCCGAAAAAAAAAAGAATATTACGATTTTATTATTTGATCAATAATTTGTATAGTGACTCGACAGACGACCTGTCAATTTATCCAGCTCATATATTTGATGCTTCAAATTGTTGTATAAACTAGTCTTATAGTATTAAAAAAATTAGTTCAAACTTATAAAAATATATAAATGAGAAAAAAAAATAGTGTTGTAGATTGCTTTATTTTATGCTAATTTTTACATAACAATTGGCCAAAAGGTGATGAATAGGAAGTTAGGAACACAACTAGGACATCATCTTTTATTTTGCATAAGTTAAGGGGTGATAAAAGAGAGTGTCTAACCTCACCCCATTCCAACCAATCACAATCCAGCTTTTACATTTCTCCGGATGACCTTATTCACCTCAATCCTTCACACATTTCTTATCTATCACATGCAAAAATCTCCTCAATCCCCACACCACCACAAACAAAATCCTCTAATTATTTTTCCCATCTCTCTCTCTTTCTCTTTTTAATTTTTTTCTTAATAATACCATAAAATTCCTTCCAAATTTTAACAACCATCAATAAAAATGGCTACCAATACTTTCAACACCATACACTCGCTCCGCCGTCGCCACCACTCGATCGACTCCCCCCGCGTAGCCGCCGCCGCCGCCGCCCCCAATCACTCATCCCATTCTCTTTTCCTAACACCAAAATCCGCCGTCCGCCGTCTTTCCCACTCGGCCGCCGCCGCCGCCGCCTCCACAACCACCAACCCCTCCACCTCCGGAGCAACCGGCAGCGGCGGCATTTCCCTCGGCCTCCTGGAGCGGTGCCTGTCGTCGAAGGACTTCCGGCAGGCGGACGAGGAGACCCGGCGGCTGCTGATCGTCCTCGCAGGCGAGGCGGCGGTTCGGCGCGGGTACGTGTTCTTCTCGGAGGTCCAATTCATCCCCGCTGGGGAGCTCCGTGCCATAGACGAGCTGTGGCGGCAGAACAGCGGGGGGCGGTACGGGTACAGCGTGCAGCGGCGGATCTGGAGGAAGGCGAAGGGGGACTTCACGCGCTTCTTCATAAGGGTCGGGTGGATGAAGAAGCTCGAGGGGTGCGAGGTGGAGCAGTACAACTACAGGTCGTTCCCGGGGGAGTTCATGTGGGACCCACCGGAGGCGGAGGAAGGGGCCGCGCCCCCCGCGCCCGAGGGGCACCTGCCCCTCACCAACGCGCTCAGGGGGACCCGATTGCTGGAGAGCATCCTCACCCACCCGGCATTCGACATCGACGACGACGACAACGATGATGGCGGCGACGCGGACGAGAAGATGAGTAAGCCTGCTGGGAAGCCTTTACTTGGGTTTAAACCCAATTACACCTTCTGAGTAAGATAAAAAGGTTTGTCAGGCCCACAAAGAAAAATTGTTATAAAAATTGTGTTTTCTTTTTTAACTTTTCTGGGGAACGATAAATACGATGAATGTTT